ACCCCTAAAGCAATGAGATGAATCAATTGTGCATTTGCCTCTTCTGAATAGTAAAGGGGCCTGCCAAAGGTCATAAATTGTTACACATGCCAGTTATCTAGAACAGGGGTTCTCAAACATTTTGGTCTCGCCCCAGGAAGCCTCAAAAACTGCCGCAAAACCCTCCCCTCCTCCCCTCTATATTTGCCGACCGAGAAGAAACAGATGCACAATTGTAGGCAACTTTGCTTGAGTTGCTTCCCATATATCCCCACCATATCAATCGCGATGTCAGTACAAAGTGAGATGACGAGCTTTGCATAGTCCTGCCGTGCAGCCTGCAGCATGGGGGAGGGGGGTTGCAATTCGAGTGTTCGCGGAACCCATGAGACCAGCTCGTGGAACCCCTGTGTTCCCCGGAACCCAGTTTGAGAACCCCTGATCTAGAAAATAGATGTTAAAGTTTCTTCCTATCTATAAAATGTAAACTCATATGCCACATAGGTCTGGCTCGCGACACACTGCATTGGCAGACGCTTCCCGCTCGCCTGGTCGTGGAGTGTGGCTGCCTACGTCTACCTGTGAGCTTTTGAGGCGCACAACACCAGTGCCATGTTGCACCAGCTGCACCGTCAGGAGATTGTGCAGCTTCGTAGGCTGTGGTCATGACCTTATACTCTAAGCCTACTTCGCCTCGTTCTTTCCTTCTTTGCCAGCCGCTTGGCTTGCCACCATCCTCAAACTCCCCAAGTAAACTTGTCAAAAATACCAAGTCGCCGTATCTCGTTTCATTCTTTCAAGTCCTTCGATAGAGCGACGACTTGGTTAGCGACACCGAAAACCTCGCTTCGTATGCACCAAAATGTTTGACAACTTGTTCCTGCTGCCAAAAAAGGCTAAAGATTGTGAAATATATACACAAACTCATCTCTGTGACGTCACGGCGCGGTGGTGGCGCGTCGGTCGCACTTCCGGTCTGGGGCTGTGGGCAGAAGTCCCCATGCGAGACGTGTATTCCTGCGTTGTTTTGAAAGGAACCAGACGAAAACCTGCCTTCTCGTCAAAACGCCGCGACTGGGGCCGTACCAAAAGTGTCGAGAAAGGTTTGAAGGTCAGTTTTCACGTGCTCGGTTCATCCGAGAATATGGTTATGTGCCGTGAAAAGAAAAAAGCAGACGCCACCGGACAATGATTGCTTGGGCGGGAAGCACTTTGGGCTGAATTCACGGATTCTTGTGGTCATCAGATTTATTTGTTTTGTTCCAACATGAACGCCAGAAAACTCAAGTTGTGCGGACCACCTGACTATGTTCAGTACGTCTCCAAGTTCAAACGGCCGCCTGATCGTTCGAATTGTCGTCTGCTCTTTCAAACGTTTCTGCTTGTCGTCTGCTCTCTTAGACGACGCCGGTCCGTAGACCAAATGTTGGCCCGGTACTTGCGATAAGAAGTGAGTGCAGGCCTCAAAAGACTTAAATTTGAAGGTTGGTTAGCAGGCTCGATGTAAACAGAAGATACAAGGAGATGTTGGTCATTGTTACCAGTGGCCAACACCGACTTGTTATGCCTAATTCAGTTGGTCCGATTCTGCTTGCGATTTTCAGTATCGTCGTCGACCATCTCAGCTTTGGTTTACACTTTTGCAGCCCGAGCGGAGTCGCGACTGAAAATTCCGAGCGAAATCTGATCGTGCGAATCAGGCTTTAGCGTACAATCTGCGGCGTCCACGCGGAATGAATCGCCACATGTCACATTATTCACGCGAAGTTTTGTGGTGTAACGAGCCTCGGTAATTTCGCTGACGCCGCTCAAGATAGCTAGACATCGCCAGGAAGACGTAGAACCAACAATTCGAATGCGAAAAAGGGCAGGGGGACTCACAACGACGCCGACAACATCGCGTTTCAATGGTTTGTTTATGGGCGACGGCGAGATTCTTGCCCACACCTCCATCGCGCATGCGCGGCGCCGGTGGCGTCCGCTAGGGGCGCTCCGGGCGCTCCGGTTTGTTTGTAAACATGAGTTGGTGTATAGAAGACATTCACATATACTCTGACCAAGAGGTATGGGCCAGATACGACAAAGTCTCTTATTTCATCACTTTCTGCTTTTGCCATGGGTTAAAAGAGTCAGTCGGTGTTTTACGCTTCCTACAGTTCTGAAGAAACTACAGACAATAGACGATTTGCTATTTTGTCTAGTGCCCCGACCCACGCGCGAGGAATTGTGGGAGAGACTGTCCCTCGCCTGACCCCTCTGCCTTGAGATTGCATTGCTTTGTCGCTTGTCTCCTCTTGATCCTCTGTTTTTGGTTATATTACCTATTTTTATCAATTCCAGTGTACTTTGTATTGCTTCTAAGTGTTTCTATTATCTTCTGTGCGGGATATTTCTTGCATATATATAGTATTTGTGTCTTTATTCTGCCTTTTTCTACGGGAGTGCTGACGGACAACACGCCGCTTCTTGCGTCATTCCCGGGGTGAGTACTACAGTTGTTACCGATTCCTATCGCGCTGTTAGCTGTTCATTTTGGTTCAATATGACCCGCGTGCAGTCGAGAGGAGCCGTTTATGAACACCCGCACACGTCATATGGGGTAGGCAGAGCTCTGAATCAACAATCGCGATGCGAGAGCCAGGTGCGCTGTGATTTGGCCGCCCATGCTCACTCCGTTGACTCGCACTGTAGCGTGTGCCTTCGAGTGCCGCTTACTTGACCAACATACAGCACGCTGCCTTGTCGCAGCGAATCATTTGTCCGAATGTCTGCGAAACCGTAACGCCGTTCGGCATATCCAACGCTGCGGCGGCTGACAACTGCACTCAGTGGCGCGCAGTTGTCAGCACTTGAAAAAGGGTGTTTGCAACTGACAACCGCTTAGCAGATAGATTAAGAAGGGATACCATAAGCGCATACAAGCCGTGACGTTGGGCCACCGGTGCTTGCAAAAGGCTCGCACCGCTGCACGCAGTTGTCAGGCGCCGCAGCGTTGCATATGCCTCAGCTTCTGAAGCATTCGGACAAATGATCTGCGGCGACAAAGCTGCGTGCTGTATATTGGTCAAGTAAGCGGCACTCAAAGGCATACGCTACAGTGCAAGTCAACGGAGCAAGCGCGGACGGCCAAAACAAAGTGCACTCGGCTCTCGCGTCGTGATTGTTGACTCAGACCTCTGCCTACCCCGATGACATGTGCGCGGGTGTTCATAAACGGCTCCTCTCAACTGCATGCGGGTCAAATTGAACCAAAATTAACAGCTAACAGCGCGATAGCCGATAGGAATTGGTAGCAACGGTAGTAGTCACCCGGGGAACGACGCGTGAAGCGGCATGTTGTCTGTCGGCACTCCCGTCGAAAAACGAAAATAAAGACACAAATACTATATATATGCAAGAAATATTGCGTGCAGAACAGAATAGAAATACTTAGAAGCAATAGCAAAAACTGGAATAGATAAAAATAGGTAATGGAATCGAAAAACAGAGGATTAAGAGGAGGCAAGCGACAAGGCAATGCGATCTCAAGGCAGAGGCGAGGGACAGTCTCTCCCACAATTCCTCGCGCGCAGACCGGGGTGCTTGGGAGATTTCGCAAAAGGGCTATTGGGAGTGAGCAATCCCGGTTGCATAATGAGAGCAATCCCTGTTGCAAGGAGTGACCAATCCCTGTTGCATAATATTGGTGCACAAGTGAATACCACTGAATAAATACAAATAAACCTGTTGTTTCCTGTTGATGTTTTCATCTTTCGAAACAGGAGGCAAAAGTTTTAGTCAACAAGTACTATAAGCTTCAAGCAACCACTTGAAACAAATCTTGTACGCCATGTTTCTTTGCTACCTGCTGCGAGCTACTGCCCGACGTTAGTTGATTTTTCTTTCAGCAACTACTCATTCATGTTTTGACCTTAAAGTGACGGTTTCTGGCACAACATACAAGATGTGCCTCCCGTTCGCTTGATTGTGTGGCGTATGCCGCACTAGAATAGTGGGGGCTGCATTTTTTCGGTACTGGGTGTGCTCCAGCCAAATGTGACAATAAAAGAGGGATACACAAATATATCTAGCACAGCATGACTTCTGCTGGCACATTTTCATTTATCTATTTACTGCGTTATCAAGGAGAGGGGCTAGACCAGAAGTCTCAAACATGCGGCCCACGACTCGCTGGGGGCGCGGCCCGCAAGCAACTGGCTGTGAGCTTTTGTTCCCATGACTCGGACTGTAGAAATGGCATGCTCGCTAATACCCCCCCCCCCCCCCCCCGATTCATTTCCACCCAAAACGTAAGTCTGCTCCTAAAACATATTCATATAGTGTATTCTATACTGCTTTAATGTGTCTTGTGTTTAATTTTATTTCTTGCTTTCCAACTATTTGTCACCTCGGCTGCACAAACTCTCGCTCAGCAGAAGCAACAGCCAAAGACAAAGGTCAAAATTCTCGCCTTCAGAAAATATTAATATTAAAATATAAGTGTTCAATCATACTGCTGCTATAAAGATCGTCAGAAAACGAAAACCGTCGTACGAATAATTTCTTTTTTCGATACATGTAGAGAGAGATTAATTAATTCCCGAGTGAATTGAGCAACTGGAACTACTATGAAGCGTGCATGCTTAGCACGGTGGCTGGGCGGTGTCATTTTTCTTGTTATCACATCAAGTAACTGTCGCAAGCATTCATATAAACAAATGAAGCCTAAAAATTGCACGCGCAATAAGCACAAGTTCTCTCTAAACCCCCCCCCCCCCCCCCCGGCCTTACCATGGGCCTCGACCTTTCCGGGGTAGTATATCTGGCCCCCATAGTCAACTGAGTTTGAGACCCCTGGGCTAGACTGATGAAAGAATGAATATGAACACCAATTAATAAAGGCCGAAAGAGACAGATGTGGGAACAACACAATTTCTGAGTAGCCGCCCCCTCCTTTACGAATGTCTGAGTACATCAATTCCTCGAGTCGAGTCATATTGGAAAGTTTCATCGTCCGCACTGTTAGTCAACAAAGCAACGACCTGCTTGGTACAAACACCCTCACCGATGACGTCTCTCACAGCGTCTTTGCACAAAACTTCCTTTCCACACCCTGCCAGGGAGCCCCTCAGACAGCTGTTGGCCAGGGTGTCGTAGCCGAACACCATGGCGGCGCGCTCCTGCGTGTATATGGACGGGGTGGAGCTCAGCCGCCGCAGTCTGTGCTCGGCCAAAATGATGGTGCCAAACCGCATCTGCGATAGAAAGGAAATACATATGACATACGAGGCATGCGTTTCGAAGTTCTCAATAAAAATATTTTCCTGTAATAGAACTATTTACTTAACGGGGACATTAACCTAAACCTAAATAGTTACGTTGATATAAAATATTTTCAACACGTGAGGCAGTAACAAAGTGAAGGAGCTCAATGTTTGAATGCCTTCTTCTCAGTTCCACTTTTTGCTGCTATTTGATACGAAGGAATCTTTTGTTCGAAGGTAAAAGTATTCTGATACCACAATCAAGATGAACTGAAATATCCTGGGGATTCAGGTTATCTACTTAATTTTAAGTTGAAGTCCTCATAGAGAAAAAATTATCTTTTCAAAAATTTACATAGACATATATGCATCTAATTTTCTTAAGTAATAACTCTTCCTGAAATATTTACATTTGAGTTTGAAAGACTAGATAGCTTGAAGTACCACATCCCCCACTTTACATTCAAGCAATCAAAACGGTGCTCAATAACTTCATTTGCATATCATAGATTTCTTAACGAAAAGTGGCACATCTTATGCAGGTACTTAAAATTGTCCTAAAGAGCTAAAAGTTTGCACAATCCACCTACATCTTATGTTAAATCTCCCCTGCAAATTTCATTTCAATCACTTGAAGGCTTTGTTCCCTTTTCGCTTAGCGGACTATTTAGCTTAGAAATAAATATAGAAGTTACATGTATTTTAGTCCTGCGGGGCCGAGCCCCAAAGTCGTAATTATTGTTTTTGGGATTCTCACGGACTAAAAGACGCTTTTGCACAGTCCCCTGAAAGTCCAATAATCGGGGTTCCACTATACTTCTAAGCTAATAGCGCGTTAGACGAAAAGGAAACAAAGCCTTTAAATAAATCAAAAGAAAAGAAAAGCATGGTGGGGTAAAGGCACTGATAAAATTGTATTGGCACTTTACCAAATTTTAAAAAAAAATTATTAGTAATTTGCACCCTTCAGAAACAAGTGAGCAACGCCCTCTTGGACATGCGCAAACTTCCGAATGCCATCAAACATGAAATTTCCACATGTCAACATACGCAGCTCAGAGCCCGCGACACTCATTTTTGTCCTAAGTATCGGGATCGGGTAGTTCCCATTTTGACGACTTCATAGAACGACACTGTGTCGCAGACGGCGATGATGTATTTGGCAATTGACGTGGTACACAAGTCATGATGAGGCCATCTGGTTAAGGCCCTCTGCCATTTAGGAGCATGTAAACTTCTGCGGAGCACGTGGAACTTATAGGCACAGTATACAACCGAAACTCTATGCCTTTTTCGCTTTCTAAATGCTCGGCACGACCCGGCAAGCGAGATCACATGGCTCGTGAAAAGAATGTGCGCCACTTATTATGGACACTAAATTGTTTGGTTCAGTATTCCTTTAAGCCGAAAATGAAGCGAAGGCTACAGGCACAAGGCCGCTGCAGCTTGGAGAAAGTTTTAGCTGACAGCGCTCGCGCTAGAAATGCCCGTTTCAGTGCGCGGCGCACGCGCTAGCACGGGTTCATAGCCCTTCGCTGTAATATCTACATTACGAAGTTAACTTGAAATCCATACTTACGGCTGAACTTCACGACCTGAGCTGTCAGCAGCTTCGTTGTCCCTGTAGCCCGTTTGTTCTTGTCTTCGTTCGGCCAGTTCACTTTTACCCAATTGTTCTTCTGGGTTGGCCCGGTGTAAGTGGGCCACGTTTTTGAATTGTGCTTCACTATTGGATCGAAGTTTTGAATGAGTTTCTCTGAATCAGCTGAAAGGCTCTCGTCCGGAAACCTGTACAGGGCGAACTTGTCCATCGTAATGCGGACACTTCGAAGTTCCAACGTCCCAAACGAAAAACGAACGCAACAGAGGTAGACAGAAGCAGTGGTGGCCCAGCCATTTTAGGTTTTGGAGCAATTTTTGGAGCAAGAAAAACCCAATTTTGGAGCAATTCGTATCACATAAACTCCCCTTTTGGAGCAGGGAAAAGCTCGTTTTGGAGCACCTTGGTATCAGGAAAACTAAACATTTTGGAGCAGCATGAACATAGAGCAGTTCTGTGCCATGTCTTTATTAATATATATATATATTACGGCGGCCCTTGTCAATCTTTCCTCACCCCCCATATATATATATAGGTCTGTGTGTGTCACGAACATCTGAATTTCATATAGTAATTTACAAAGTAAAGAACTCACCATAAGAAAACCATTTTATTTATGACAGAACATTCTTGCAGCTAAAGCTTAACTATGTAACAAAATATCACAGATGAAAACTAAAATATTGCTTAATACTTCTTGCCTTTTGACTGTAGGCTATATATCACAGGTGAAAAAAAAATATTGACTCAATGCTTTTTGCATTTCTTTTTCAGTTTGTCCAGCTCGCAAAGAGTGTGTGACAAAGTAGCATTGGCTTCAGCTAACATAGTTTGGCCACCTTCTACTTTTTCCAAGCTTTGGCACTGCAGTCCTGCGCCAACAATCTCTTCCGCCCTCTTCAGCAACGCACGGCACGAGATCACCCTTTCCTCCAACTGCTTCTTTAAGCGCTTGTCATGCGAGTTGTCAGCATCAACTTGTGCGCTGTCGGGCTTTTTTCTCTTCATGACGGCCTCTCTGCTTCCAAAGCTTTTCACTCATGCTCATTATTGTTTGTGACATAATCCGGTTTCATGTCTCATTCCTTTATTTTTAACCCTGACCACTAGAGTTCTTTCTTCTTGCTTACCCTCAATAAAATAGTTTTTTCTTTGGTGCTGTTTGGCCTCAGCAGCCCTTGCACCATAAAAACGCAATCCAACCCTACGCTGATGTGGGAATGTGGAGGTGGATGGCAGGGTGCCTTCTGCAAGCATCAGGCCCTTGTTCATCATCGATACAGAGGGACCTTCCCCAACGCTTCTCTTCTCTTGGCCCATGACTGCCACCAGCTCGGGCTCTTGTCTCTGGGAGACAACTGCCAGCCTGTGGCTCTCTTCCAAGCCTTCAAAGAGCCGCCAGGGCAGCCATCCACCAGTACTGCTGTGAAAGAAACTGCAGCGCCAGCAGAGCCGAGCAGTGCCCCTGCAATGGAACACCAACAGCTAGCCAGCCTCGACGACTCCCCTCCCATTAATCTGCAAGAGCATCGACAGCAGGGTTCGTACAGGTTTTCAAGAAAAAAATTCAAGGACTTTTCAAGGACCTTTCAAAAAATAAAGAACACTACAGTAGATCGCACACATTATTTTTATTGCACAGAACAAAGAAAACTGACTTCACTTGAAGTTATTGCGCGTACAGTTTCATTCGACTAGGTGAAGTTAGTTCTGGAGATTGTACATAGTCTCATTCGACTACATAAAGGGCGAAAGCTCACGTCAGGTCTTTTAGTTTATTAGCTAGTTGAGTCTTAACGCTGCTGAGTTCCTCAGCCTTGGCTCTTGCGGTCTTTCTTAGGCTGTTTGATTTTACCAGCTTCTTGATGTCAGCAGTTGCTTCAGCCTTTTCTGCATATTCATCTGCAGAGGCCATTAAATCGGCAACAACTGCCTCAAGCTTCTTTTTCTTCATCTGCACGCCTTCAACCTCTTCCACGATTTTTCGCCTTTTTGTTTGCTGCGAGTTTTCCTGGCACTGTTTCTTTTGCGATTCCAGGTGTGCACTGTAATGCTGCCTCGCTGCTGCTTATTTTTTGTATGAAGTCGGCGGGCTCACCGCCATTTTTTATTCATGTTAATTAGACTGTATTCTCCCCCCTCAAATAATGCCAACAGGACATTGAGCTACTTTGAATAAATAAATAAATAAACCGTGCAGAAGCATGCTTGAGCCTTTCAGTATATGACCATTGTTCATGCAGTGTGGCCACATTATTTGGACAGAAAATTTGAGGGATTTCATTAACACCCCGAGACATGTGATGATTCCGTGGAAACGCTAGTTTCATGTAACGACGCAAGCTACTGGCTAACGAGAACGTTATCATGTACGGTGCTTATTTCTTTAAGTGATCTTACGACTGGTACCGGGTGCATTTTCCGTTCAAGGTGTCGTTCCGTGAGCACAAATTTAACATTCATCACGTCGTATCATGGATGTCATTCCCTGACTGAGATTGTGTGTTTTCATGTAGATAATAGGAAAATGATCTGGGCTTTCAGGAGATAATGTTACTCACCTCCTTCAGGTGCCCTTTCTCTATACAAAAGGAACAGATCATCTGAGGCTCCTGCAACAATGAAAATAATATGTAGCGAGACTGCATCCCTAATTTCCATAAATTCTCCCAGCTCTCCCCCAGAATGACGAGCAAGAATACCTAGGAAAGTGGTCGGTAGATTCCCTGAAAGTTGTTCATTTGAACGTTCCCTGAAAATTCTGCATCGGTACGGTCGCTCAAAATTTTGCTTTGGCATATTCTCTGGCGATTATGCGCCGGTATGTTTCCTGGAAATTCCGCGTCGATATGTTTTCTGAAAATACAGCGTTATGGCATTCCTTAAAGACACCGGATGACCGCATTCCTTGAAGATTAAGCATCAGTACATTCCCTGAAAATTCGGCGTCAGCATATTCCCTAAAATTACGCACGGAATATTCATTTAACACGGTCCGCACTTGAGAAAACTTGTAATCCTTACGAGCTTCATAATATCGGACTTTTCATGAACCCAAAAAAGCCGATGTGGACAAATTGGGACGCTCGGTCAATGGTGAAACTAGCAAACTACAGTAGACCCTCAATAACGTGACGCTCCCGCCTCGCGTCTGTAGTTCCTATGTGCTGGTGGTGCGAAGCATGGAGCACCAAAACCTGTAACGAAGTAAAGTAAGCTCCCATCGGCTCTGGACTCGGACTTTCCAAGCTTTCGGACCCCAAGCCTAGAAACTAAACAACTAACACCTAAATGCATAAGGGATCCTGCAAAAAAATTGCTGTCAAAGAAAAATAACTACGGTCCTCAAAAACCTTTTCTGCAAAAAATGTGCGAAAACCGGTACTTGTTGCACGCCTTAGGAACCTGTATGGTTTACTATCAGTACTAGGTAGTTAGTGGAGGCGTGCGAACAGTGACATTTCATACTAAATCGAATTCGAAACGGAGAGGGCCAAACGGTGGCCTGAAAGTCTTCCGGACTATTGAATACCCATACTTTATGTGTGCAATGTGCAAAAACTAAATAGGAAAAAATGCATAAATATATAAACTAAGGCCTATGCATTATGGTCGCAGAAATCAGAAATAAGGTTAGTAGTACACAGAGCTGCGAAGCACTGGAGGACCATAAGGAACAAACTGCTTTCCATCGAAGGGGTTAGTTTAGTGGACAGTCTTTATTTGCAGGCTTCGCCGAGGTCAATAGCATGTCCTACCCCTTCCAGAAAGATCTATGCTTTGTCTTCAAATAAACTCAGATTTTGTCCAGCTATTCAGTGCGTCTAACCATTCCAAGCCTCGAATGTCTCGTGAAATATACGGTCGATCGCTGTTCGATTTGAACACGAAACCCAACCATTCGCATGCCTCTACTAGCCTGCCAAAGTGAGAAAAAAATCGTTGCATGCTTCCTTTGAAAGCCGGCGTTGCCGTGCTTGCAACCTGGAAAGTAGCGTCAAGTATGCAAAACTTGAAAAACTGCGATCAAAAAGAAAGAAAAAAGAAATGGAACTCTGGCTGGGAGGCCATCGTTCGTGAATGACTTACGGTCTTTTCCTTTATCCGTCCCCAACATTTAACCTTCCTCACCCGCCCGTTTGAGAGGGTCTCGGGGGTGAATTGGTAGTCTAAGTCCTCTTTCGAGAGCCTCGACAACTTTTCGATGTTCTGCTGGGCCATCGGGGGGCCGGGTCGGAAAAACTGGGATGCTCCAGCGATTGTGGAGGCCTCCTTCCGCCTGTGGGGTTTTGCGGATGGGCTCTTGAACCCGTACTCCGAGCCGCCCTCGTCGTCCAGGGTCTGCACGTGCAAAGTAGCAAACTAATGGCGAATTCGGGTTGTCAATCGCCGGCGAGACCGAGCCGGCAAAACCGGCAACCAGTAACGCGCCGGCGGCACACCATGTGACTTTCAGCACCCGAACACGAAACGTCGACGGTTGCAGTTATCTTCGCCTCTTACCCACGCGACACCACTAGTAAGAGGCTGTCGCCGCCGTAGCTGCCGTCACTCATGTCCCAACGGCTTGGGTTGACTCGAGTAGTGACTGCTGAAGTTACTTCAGGTCAGTTTCGTTGGTTCGTTCATTTTTTTTTCTCACTGTCCTTCTCTCCCATTTCGGAAGTGACGACACCGGATACAGTCTGGCGCCTAGTCGCCCGGCCGTTTGGAGCTCGGGCGGAAAAAGCGCCGCAAAGTTGCTGGTGCTTGCCGAGGAACCACCACCCGCATAATGCGCACCGGCTGAAAACTGACCACGCGAACGCTATCGCCAGTTTTCCGGCAAAATAACTTGCCGACGATTGACCACCCGAATTCGCCATAACATACTTCAAGCTAAAAGGGGACATGGGTCTCTGGAGCCAAGAACACCCTAAACCCGCATTCTTTTGAAAATGGCGATGGCTGTTGTCCTTCTGAGTTTACCAGACTTCTAATTTCGTGGATGAATATTTGGGCTATAAATCAGTTAATAATGTCTATGCGGGCTGAATGTGCTTTAAAGTGGACTCTAAAACATTGTTTTTACAACACACAATTTTTGGACTTGTTGAAAATTTGCAGGAGGGATGTCTCAGCATCCAGAGTAGATAGAAATATAACCTTTCCTGAAATCTGTAGCTAAATGTATGAAGCGTACAATGTTGAGAGCAGATTTTCTAATAAAAGTCTAAAATATTTTCTATTTTATCTTTTGTGTTATTACTTGTTAGCCATGCACTGAGCACTGAACTTCAATGTGTGGTAAAATCACTAATGGTTTATCTTAAAAGTACTTCCAACATTGTATTCTTTACACTTCGTAGTATCTAGCCATCTGTTAAAAAGGACATTTCGTTGAGCAGTTTTTTTCCTATCATTCCTCCAAACAAAGGCAGGCAAGTTTTAATTATCTTGAGGACAATTCTACTGCCTCAGAAAACGACCAGATATCTGAAATCAGCACAAAAAGTTGAACAAGCTTGTGCACTTTCAATGGGTTCGGTCATAGAATAAGAAAAAAAGCTCCAAGACAAGTGTTCCCCCTTAAAGCAGGTAAACAGGGGACAAAAAAATGAAAGCCGTTTACAATTCCCTGTAACGCCAATTAGAGCGCAGCTCTTGAGGAGGAAGATGGAAGCGTACTGAGGGATAGGTGACTCCTTGAGGCAGGGCCGTACCCAGAAAAAAATTTCGGGGGGGGGGGGGTTTTCGGGGACAACGGCGGCCATTTAGAAAATGTCTATTGTCTTATTTTCGCCTATCAATCATGTGCATCGGTGGCATATAATGGAGAGTTATAGCAAACCGGAGAACCGGTCCCGGTTTGGTACCCGGTAGCCGACCGGCGCCAGTGCGCGTGCGCAGAGGTGGAGATTAAAATCGGCTGGCTGCAGTGCACCGACCAGGGCCGTACCCAGAAAAAAATTTTGGGGGGGGGGGGGTCAGAACCCCTTAACCCCCCCCCTGGTTACGACCCTGCCTTGAGGTCACGTGACCTCAAGGGGGCCACGTGACCTTGGGGGGTCACGTGACCTTGGGGGGGTCACGTGACCTCGGGGGGGTCACGTGACCTCGGAGGTCGCGTGACCTCGGGGGGTCGCGTGACCTCGGGGGGTCGCGTGACCTCGGGGGGGGGGGGGGGGTCACGTGACCCCCCTCCGGTTACGCCGACGGCGACGCCGACGCCACTCAGGCTGGAAACGGGCCCCTAAGAGCTGCGCTCTAAAAAGGAGGGGACAAAAAAGTTTGGAGTTCCGCCCCTTTCTAGAGCAAAGCTCTTCAGCGCCCGTTTCCGGGTTGAGCAGCATCGCCGTCAGCGTAACCGCGCATTTCATTATTAGCCCCGAGAGCGAACACAAGCGTCGCTGCGGTCGCCGCGCCCTGATTGGGTGAGGTGTATTGTGACGTCAGGGGAAGGACTCCGCTCCGCGATCTCGCATCGGCTCACTTCCCAGCGCCAGTTTCCTGGTGTGGCGTTGTGTGCCGCAAGCTTTTCGAGGAGCGGAACTTCGTTTA